GAATATATATCTACATGTATTTATATCAATACATATAGTATGAGGCATTGGAAATCTGTTTGTCGTCTATGTAAGTTTTCTATGATTTTGACAGCAATTGTTTAAATAGTTTTGTTTTTAGTAAAATTGATCATTGCTTTTATTCGAGCATCTGATATAGTAATATTTATTGGCAATAAATAGATAACTGAGGATTTTTGCAAAAAAATTTTAAATTTTTTAGCGATAATTACAATTCATTACCAAATTAAGAGTGAATATTCTATATATTTACAAGCGTCAGAAAAACATCGCAGAAGAGGACTAGAACAGGAAAGTCATCAAAATGCTACAAGAAACCACTATATCTAGTAATTATAGCTCATTTGAAATTAAATACCCCCATAATAAGCTCTGCTATAATAATGAAGTCGAAATTTATTTTAGTAAGACAAAATAAGATATTATCACCCCCAGGAAATAATATCTTATATTACACCGCCATTGAAACATTATTATTACCTTAGTTATTATTTCACATTCTAATTTTTTTCTCATATTTTTTTTCATCAATTACCAGTTTATAGTTTATATATTGTTTAATTGATTGTCTATAACAATAGCTGTAGCCATGACGCGTTACAAGATGGAAAGGGTAGACCACAGAAAAAGTCTTTACAATAAAATTACAATTGAATTTCCACTCAATCTATGATTGCATACTACATGCTTCTTCTTTTTGTTATGGAATATTGTCCTATTACTTCGACTATGCTTTTAAGCATAGGCTTTTCTTGATAACATCCAAGGAAGATGGCAAAAGATGTTGTTCCAATGATATTAGAATTAAAGTTCCACTTAATCGGTGATTATTTATCATATGAACATTATTTTCTTTGCGAAATATTAGCATATAACTACTACGCATTAGATGGGGACTCTACTTGGCTATATTCATGTCTATAAACTCCAACGCTGAGACAATTTTACCACCTTGAACCTTAGGCATAGTCTTAGACGTTCATTAGAGGGCGGTCCTGGAGTTGGTCAATTTTCTTAAAAATGGAACCCCCTAAAACTGTAAATTGGTGCATCGCATATTATTGAGCAGTCACAAATCAGATATCAGACGCTTTCATCGTCCTCTCTACAACTGCGAAAGGAATTTTTAAATACAAAATTCAGTCTTCTGGCATAGTTCTCTAATCGGCTGTGAGCAATTAACAAACCTTTCACACAATTGATATGTTTATGGAGCATCTATAGAGTGCTGGAATTTTTTTTTAAGAGAAAGCAACCCATGTTCTTACAGATGTCTACCTATTGTTGAGTCTTGTCATCTTTTATTTTATAATGAAATAATTTTATTCATATTTTATTCACATTATTTCATATATAGGCTAAGCTTCATTCCATGAGCAGACAGATAATCATAAGCCCCTAAGTTTGTTCGATCATCTTACTAAATATGAGTATAAATGTTTTGTGTGAGCATCGAGTTTCTTTCCTCGTTATTACATTTAAAAAACTTTATAATTTATTTTTTTTATTAAAATTAAAGCGTATAAAATAACGTGAAGATCTCGTACAGGTGCTTGATTTTTTTTCTAGAAAGACTTCATATTTATTGCACTTTATTAAATAAAGAGTAAATAATTAAATAAAAACCCCTTAAAATCTCTCTTGAGTGAATAATAATCGAATGGAACTTTTTTTCGTCAATAAGAGTGTCTGGACAAAAAACATTAAGATTATTAATCTTTCTAAGAAAAATTATTCATTTAAAAGTAACATTTGTAACTTCATAATTAAATAAGATAAGATTTCTACATTAAACACTCACTTATTGGATCATAACCTCGGTTAGATACTTTGCTTCCCACTAGTAAAATACTGTTACAAAGCTTAAAAGTTATAATATATAATTTTATTTTGACTTAAATGATATAAGAGTTTAAACCTTCTAATCAAATTAAAACATAAACGTATATTATCATAGTCTTGAAAACTTTTCTGACAAATTTTAGTAATAAATTGCAATAGAGTTTGAGCCTTATGGAAAATGCTTCAAGATTGTATTTTATTTGTAACAAAATGAGGTACTAAGTGCCAAACCTTTACAAAAAATGTCATCCCAATAATTTAGCTTTATAATAAAAATTATAATAAAATAGCTAAAAATCTACGAAATCATCCAAAAAGTGTTATTCTATTAGGAAATATTTCAGGGCTGTACTTTATTTGTAGTAAACCGGCTAGAAATCTACAAAAACCCACATTATATCCATTGATTAATACCAACGTCAGCCAAAAATAATTAAAAGACTGAATTTTTCCCTTTTAAATTAAATAAAATGTAAAAATTCGATATATTAAACTTTAATATTAAATTTATTCATCTATACGAATAATTTTTTTTCTAAATTTAACTCAAAATGCCTAATAAATTGGTGAAAACTTTCCGAACTTGAAGCCATCTGAACTGCCCTCTTCCTATGTGTGAACATTACACGAGCAAATATGAACATGAACGTGTTAACTTTTGTGTACGGTCTGCATTATTTAATAACACAGGGTAGCCACTTAATTAAAATTTCTAATTTACGTGCATAAATATTAAATATTTAAAGAATTGCTGCAATGGCACGAAAACTTATTTGAAAAAAGTGAAATGTGAAACAATAGCAACAACAAGGAATGACGTGATTTGTTGTTATGATGATATGCGTACTCGTCACATTGTGAAAAAGTGGCAATTGCGGCAATAGCGGCAATAGCGGCTCTCGCCCACACAGTACCTAGCAACTACGAAAATATAAAAACCAACTGTTGTGGGCAACGTAACAATTGTCACGAGGATACGCAACAACAACAATAACAACAGCGAAAAAATACAAACAACAATCACAAGAATAACGTAAAAAATTTTACACAAACAACAAAGAAAAAAAAGCGACTGCCACAAAGAAAAACCTTCTTAAAAATTCAATTAAAAAGTTCTGTAGCGGCCAACAACAACAACAGAAATAACAACGTAAATGGTTGGTATGGCAAAGCCGTGGAAGCGATGGTGTCGATCATAAGAATGTCGTTAATACTTGTGTGATTCCTGTTGCGTGTGCATGTGTCTTTACCTTTTTTATTAGTTGTATCACAACATATATATCTATATATATATATTATATGTATATTCGGTTATTCGTGAATATATGTTTTTGTTTCATATATTACGTCATGGATCCCCTTCTCTTGCAAACCTCAACTTTGCTGTAACGGTTGTCATTATTTGTCTGGAGACCTGAAAGTATAAACAGTAAAAAAAAAATTGTAGCATATGTTCAGGCACACATTCCCCGGTAACTTACTACCTAGCAACAAATAAAAGGAATTTTAATCAAACGTATGTTCCATTTCATTTCTGCTCATCACTTAAAAGGATATGTGTAACTATATGAGTAATCCACTTCTAATTTTAATGAAACTTTATTGATATTTGACTTGACCACCAGAATTGTATTGAGATTTTTTTATAGAACAATAAATTAATAAATCGAACAACAGAATGTCGTATTTAAACTTCATGTAGTGTTAGCGAAACGTCAAATGTGATTTGAAATTTGAAAGAGACTCGGTTTTACCACTGTTTTACCTCATAATATTAAAAACTGTGTACTGCCCGCATATTTGAAGGGTCACCGCAAGTTGCAATTATCTTGACAGGATCGGTCGATCTTATGTGACGGAAAAACGTTTCAAAATGAAAGAGAATAGACGTGTTTTGATATACTTTGTAATTTCTGCGCTTTGCTCTCGGCTATGAAGACGATACTACATAATGCAGAAATACTTGTTATTGCTGTTGTTGTAGCTGGCGGAGATCTATAAAGTAAATAACATGAAACGATTTACAAAATCGCGTACATGGATTAGGATATGAGTAGGTATTGGTAGTGTAAGAATGGTGGGAATCATTTAGGGATAAGAATGTATTGAAGACAGTTATGATTTGATGTGATATCATCTTAGTTCAAAGCGGAGAAACCTAGCCAGATTTAAGTCCCGAAACCACTCACTGAGTTTGACAACGAAGTACTGTTCAATACTCTCAAGAAGGACTACACCAAAAGTTACAGTACTCGCCCACATTTGTTAATAGAGGTGTCTCGGCAGAAAACATGTGGACCATCATAATTTAACCGATAGGGCTATACAAATAACCATTTAACCAGTTGTGACTAGGGTTTACCAAAATTGTGCAAATTGGGCAAGTCACCGCATCAATTAGCCAACCATCTCTTTTGAAAATCTTCTACACTGAACGTAATAAGTACTTAAGATATTATATTAATAAACTTCATAATATCTTTTACCTTACTGAAGTGTTCTTTCCAATATCCCCAGACAAGAAAATAGGTGGATGGATATTCATTATATATTTTAGAAAAAAATAGCTAATAGTTAATAGTTAACAGACATATCTCCTGTTAAGAAACTGTTCTATATCTTAAGTTCACATCTGTATATAATTAAAACCTTATAAGAATTTTCATTGCTGGTCCAAAAGAGCTACTCTTAAACAATAAATTTAACTGTCATTAGTTGTGATATGTAGGCAGTCGCCACCAATTTGAAGTTGAAACATAAAGAAATATTTTTTAATAAGAAAATTTTAGATTTTATTAATAAAAACTTTCCTTATTATTTCAGGTGCTGATATAAGAAAGAGCAGAAGCAAACTTTCTTAAAACTTCTACTAGAAGCTAAACACTCTCGCAACTACGTCTTGAAATGCCTAAGTCTTAACCAATAATTATAAAAACATAATTTACAAATTTTTATTAAGTCAACGCAACAACGAAAGCAATACCTTACTGTGAATCATTTAAAATTTTTAAATTATACATAAAGTAATAACATTTAGGACAAACTCAAAATTTTATTAAAAATATATATAAAGCATAATTATTTAATATTTCGGTATAACTCAACTAAATAACAAAACAAATCCTTACAAAAAAAAAAAAAACAAAAAATTAAGAATAATTTTTGGAATGCTAAAAGTAAAACATCACCGTAGGTTGTGCTCCATTAGAAGTTAATGACTTTTAAGAAAACTCCATTAAACTCTTTAGATAAATTTGTACGATGTCATTCGAGAGTATTTCTTTGAACAATAATAAATCGATATTAAGGAAAAGTTCAGCAATTAAGTACACAGCATCGGTCTCATCGCTATCCAACTATGCTGCTACACCCAATATTGGACGTGTGGATGAGAACCAGCAAATACAGCAAAACATAAAACAATATCGTCACCAAATGGCACCACTGAAGAAAGCGATTACGACACCCATAAAGCAACAGCAACAGCCATTGCAACAAAATGGCGGTATCAATCCACAATCCTCAGTTAATGTGTACAAAAGGGCAGCGGCAACGACAACAATAATTAAGTCGAAGACAGCGAATATCAGTTCCGTAGCAATGCCGGCACCCACTAAATCGCAAGAAAACAAATTCAAGCGAAAGTCTGCGATTAGAGACACGGAAACTTGTTCGGTTAAGACTTTGAACGATTGTGTTGCGAGTATTGATGTGTTCGAGAACGGGTTTGCGACCGATGCTGAGATCTATGAGCGTCTTGAGTGGTCGGCGGCACAGTCTTTAGTTGAAATGAATTCTAAGGATAAGCAGCGTCGCAATGCACGTTTGCAGCTATCAACAATAGCAACAGTTCATCCTCAACCAGAAGTGAAAAAGGAAAAGGACGCACAAGGTGAGTTTGAGATTTTTATAAAACATTTTTTCCAAAACAATTTTTTATAATTTATAATAAAATTTTTACGCTAAAAACTACCAGATTTCGGTTTCATGAACACAATTAGCAATTTACATAGAACAAAAATAGAATAATTTAATTAATTTAGAATAATTTTAGGATAACTTTAGAATAATTAATTAATATTTTAAAATAGTTGAATCATAGCAGCTACTACCTACTCCACCATATTTTAGGAAAATATTTTTAGTCACAATCAAAAATTAGCTTGCTACTTTCCTGACATCTGTCAGAGCACCCTATAATCGTATTCATTCAACAATTTCCGTATTATTGTAGTACTAAGGCAGCCTTAAAATTTCAAAATAAAAGCTTTAAGGGATGATTACATTAAGAAAATAGAAGAAAAATGTGAAAATGTGATGAATGCAATATTTGAATATGTTAATTTGCATAATATTTTAGGAAATCATTTGTATTCACAATAGATTATTGGGTTGCTACAATCCTGACATCTTTTGGGATGCCTGATAATCATACGGAATCGAAAATTCCGTATGATTATGGAATTTTCGAGTGCACTTGTGTTGCACTGAGCGAGTTTTAAAAATTCAAAATGATGGCCTAAATGGTAGCGTTCGTTACATTAAAATAATTAAATATATATAATTAAAGATATATACTTAAAATATAAGAAAACCTTTTTCGATAATTCACAATCGATAATTGGGTTTCTACAAACCTGACATCTTTCGGTATACCTAATAGTTATATCCATTGTAGTACAAAGTGAGCTGTAGAGAATCAAAATAATAGCTATAAGGAATCATTACATTAAAGTAATGGAAGTAGTAGATGACATAATGCATATAGCATTTGAATAAAAATGAGGAAAATTTGTTATATTTCCTTAGTGAATTATAACAATTAATTTTTAGTAGTCTTAAGTTAATCCTCATATATTTGTAATTATATGATTTAACATATTAATACATAACGTATATTTCTTCTAAGGTACGAGTATTATTTTGTATGCTTTTATATTTTGATCAAAAATACACGAGTATATCTTGATACTCTATATACATACTAATATATGACAGCAAATATGTATATGTGGACTTCACTAAAGAAGATAGGTACTTATTGGGTACATTTCTATTCAAACCTCATAAAACCAATGACCTTTATTCAAAGTTTAACACAAATTTCTTTAATATTTATTTTACTGTAAGTAAAAATGAAAGACTGTTAATTGAAAATCAATATAGTTCATTGTTTTCACACCAAACGTCCGATTATGGATGCGTAACTATGAGTAGTTAAAGTATTCCGGATTACCAAAACAGAAAAATACTCGCATACGAAAGTAGTAGAAAGTAATATTGCACTAGGAGTATGAGCGGTGCGTGAAGTAAGTAATACCATCAACACTAATTGACATGCAACAGAACCTAGAGTACCTGTAGTGGCTGTCGCTGAATGTCACCACAACAAATGATGATAGCACCAAGGCACGCGGCTACTCCACCGAACGAACAGGTGGCACCATCAATTGTGTTTGTTTAAACTTGATAGCGTATACGCAATTGTGGTCGGCACCGACGCCAATAGTGGAGCCGTGGGAGCAAAGAAATATTGTCAATGGGTGAGCAACATGAACAGCCAATGTAAACGCTGCGTTGCTGCGTTTACAGTGAGCGAAGTGTTTGACCATTATTGCCATTAAGTAATCTTTTCGTCATAAGTTGACACTTTATGAGGTGTTCATGCGACACTTAAATGGTCATTTAAGTAAGTGAAAATGGTAATTAAACTCATAAACATGCCGATACGAAAAAACAGTATATCACAACATTCCATGTCATTCACTGCAGAGGAATACGTTGAACTTATCCCCGGAACACTGATTGCCAAGTGCAGAGCTCATTTGAACCGCTTGTACTATATGTAAAAAAATAAACAATTTATTAAATTTACGACTATTAACGAGTACACTGTGCTACATACTCTGCTCAACCAATCAGCATGTATCGTATCATTGAATCAAACGTCATAGACGAAATTGCCAAAATACGGCAAACTAATTTGTATGCTTATTTCTTTTTTAAACGCAAATATTGTAGTTAAACTGAATAAAACTGAAATAATAATAATAAAACAATAAAACTGCCAAAAATTCAAAACTTCATTTATTTGCGGCAGTTGCACGAGAATCGGCAACACTCACTCCACGTACCAGCAACATAAAATGCAGCTCCGATTAGGTTGTGCACGTGTTTCGTATAAATTAAGGGAAATGAGATTGTTATGATTATTTTTGTTGTTATTGTTGCCTTAATTTTTTAACCCCATCAACATCGCATGCAACCCTTTCCTGCGCCTTTGTGCTTTTGTTCCAACCTAACAAAATTAGGATTCGGCAGCAATGGCAAAGTTCGCCTCCTGCCATGTCTTCACACAAATTCCAATAAATTTCAGTCGAACTACTGTTGTTTGGTGTCATTAAGCTGTTGCTTACTCCAGCAAACAAAATCGAGCTCCTCTTGCACGACACTTGCTCATCAATTTTCATGTTTGGATTGACTACAATAAGCACCAAAAAGAAAATACAAAAAAGTTATTGAATACTTGAGGAGAAGGGGGAAATGAGGAAAAATAAAGTTTTCGATAATGCAACATTTTGTTGATTTTTTGTATTTTCTTATATTTCCTATTATGTGGACAAACTTTGATTTTTGCAGGTTGGTACCAACAGGTACAACAGCTCCTCACAGCCCCACAAATACTCATAAGACAGCACATGACATGAATAAATAAAACCATTGCATATTATAAAATCCAAATGCTAATAGAAAATCTATAATATTAAACTAATGAAACTGAGTAGTTGAATTATAATACAAGTCCTTCTAACACCAAATACTTTACAGCATATATGTTATTTAACTCTTTTCTCAAAGAGAGTGAACATCTAAAATGGTTCTGTTTAAGTTTTTTAATGGCACGAAAGATTCACCTATAATATATGAAAAACTCCTAGTATCTCAGTGTTAAAGTTTAGTTCCTCAGATTAAGATAATACAATTTACAAATATTGACTTTCGAATAGTTTTTTCCGGTACAATAATATACACCTAAAATTTAATCAAATCAGATAAAACATCTAGAGTTCAGTCTGTAGAATAATCAAATAACGACTACTTCTTTGAGATTCGACTTTATTCATTAATGTAGTCTACTTAAAGAGTAATACTCGTACAATCATTCTCGTTTCTTTAACATTTCGGTAGCTCACTTGTAAAATGATATATCTTTACTTCAAAATATATCGCAGTTTCGGTGACAACTTTTTATTCGGAGCAAAATCTCTTTCCCTGTATTATTTTTTTGATGTGTGCGAAAAGATGTTAATCCCTGACAACTAAATCTGACGAATACTATAGCTGCAGAAACTATTCAAAGTATATTGTCTTGGTAAAAGAAGACTTTTTTCCGCATATGGGGCCGTTATTTCACAATCTTTCAAGGTAGTTGATTGACAAAATTACAAAGCGTTCTTGGTTACTTTGAGCAATACTCTTCATCTAATGCCTACTCAGCTGTTTACCGATTCGACTCTGGAATGAAGTGATGAATTCAAGTATCGTCCACTATTACTGAATAATGCAAACAGTTTTTCTTATCTTCAAACAGCTGTGAGCATACGCAGCACCCACTTCAAGAATAGCTTTCTGATAGACAAATGTCTATGCAAAATGAAGTCAACACATTACTTTGAGATCTTTAAGATGCCAGATATCGCTTGCAATTTCACTTTACGGTGCATCAAAACGATTTTAAGGACTCTTTTGGTGTTTTTACTGATGTTAGCACCGGGTAGAATTGTTAGACCGGGTAGATGTTAGAATTTGAGACCGGGTAACATATATTACGTCAAGATTTTGCTGCCATGGTACTTTTTCTGATAAAAAAACATGGTATTTTTTCTGATAATTAAGACGCGATACTGTTTTGAGTCCTTTATTCTGAATATATTAAAAGAAACGTCACTTAAATAGCTGTAACTGAATAAGTAATCATTCAATCATGTCTTCAAATTTTGACAAGTATCATTTGAAAGTTGCCACTTTTTAAAATTTATGTAGATTTTTCATTAGTGACACTGCCAGTGTGTTATCCTATGGAATTATAAACCAACGGTATATTTATTGGTGGACATTTTTACACGATTTAAGATGGGACACAACTAGCTTCTACCTTTAGAAGAGTGCAATGAAAATTGAGTATTACTGGGGTCTGTACTTAAAAATATGACTGATTTTCTATATTTTACATATATAAAAATTGTATTTCTTTGTTTATGTTGAAGCTATTTGACCACTTTTACTCTTTCATAACTCGAGGTATTTTCAAAACCCCTTGACTGAATTATTGTTTATCACTTTATCAGACTAAGCAATAATTGACCTCAGATCTGCGTACCTCCCCGAGGAGCCTGTAACCATTCTGAGATTTGATAACGCGGTGTTGGTAAGTCTGTCAGTTTTCGCAAATAATTTCAGGGCTCTATCCTTTATATATTTTTTGATGGGATGTGTTTGATTAATTTTACTATCTTAAATTGGTGCACTTTGTCATGTTTATAAAAAGTTTACATATAAATACTTGCATTATAGCAAAACCCATAGAACTATTGTAAGTAGTTCTAAGAAGAATTTACATTAAACTTGAGGAAATATGTATTATATCTCTATATTATACAATATTTAAGAATATTAATTTTCAAGCAATTTAGACTGATTTTTTAATTAAAGGAATGATTTTCTCATTGAAGTAAATTGAAATTTGCCACTCATTTGCCAACCAAATGCTTCCCTACAAGTGCAACAGACATTCTACCGTAAAAGCAAAAACAAAAATAAAAACAAAGCATTTGCTTTTATTTTCAATTATCTTTAAAAGATTACCTCACATTTGTTCGAAAATAACATCAA